TTTGGACGGCAACGATGCCACTTTCAAAAGGCACCACAGTTGTTCCTTTTCCCCATGAAAAGACGCTTTCCATTTCTAGCCACCACGCAGTTTACAGCAACCAGCCGGTGGCCACAAACTTTAACAGGGCTACCTCCTCCAGCAGCAGTACAAATAAGCCACGCTGGGGAAGCAGGACCGGTTGAGCGTCTGCCTGCTGGAGGATGCTTCTGCAGGAGAAAAGCTTGGGAAGCAACAGGGCGCTCAGACCCAACAGCAATGGAGACTTTCCAGCAATTGCTGCGTTATGCATGGATCTGTGCAGGGACAGCCAAACTGCTTCTGTGTGGCCGAGGACAAACTGGGGTGCTCAGTGCTTCGTTGGGGGGTGCAATCCAGGGGAGAAAGTTCGGTTGCCTTGGTCACCGTTAGCCAAAATTCAGAAACACGGCAACCAGAACTGACAGATGTTCACTAAGCAATGTGCACAGTTCTTTACAGATAAGAGTTTTTCATAAAAGAAAATAGAAAGAGAGAGAGAGAGAGAAAGAGAGAGAGAGAGAGAGAAATGCAAGAAAGAAATGCAAGAAAGAAATGCAAGAAACGAAAAGAGAGGGAAATAAATCCTAAAGTTAGGAAATATGACTTCCAACCTTCTTTTCAACAGTTACAATTTTATAGTCCCTCCTCCTCCTCCTCCTCCTTAAATCTTATATAAGTCCCTTCAGCCCCTCATTTAATCTGCATCTTTCTTAATCTTCAGTTCCATAAATCAGCATATTGTTTCTTTCTTCTTTCAGCAAAAAGTCCATATAAGGTTTCCAGTCTTTCAAAAAAAGGTTTTGTTGTTATTTCCCTGACCCGACGGGTCAGTTTCGCCATTTCTGTGAATTCTGACACTTTCACAATCCATTCCTCCACCGTGGGGATTTCGTTCTTCTTCCATCACGATGCCTACAATAACCTTGCTGCAATTACCATCTATAAGATCAGACTACCCTAATTTATTGTCCCTAAATCCCAGTAAAAAGAGTTCTGCTTTCTTCTCAATATTAATCTTTGAAATCTTTGCATCATTGTATGAATTTGTAGCCAACATTTCTTAGCTTTCTCACAAGTCCACCATGCACAATAAAATGTCCCCTCAGCAATGTGCAAACTTCTGAGTTGCATTGAATCCATTCTCTGAACATCACACAAGCCCGCCTCGCTTAATTTTAGGACCACTTTGCATCCTCAGGCCTTCCGGCCTTCCCCCTGCCAAGTGTTAATCCGTGCCACCCCCTCTGGCTTCAGACAATAAAATCTAAGGAGGTTTCCTGCCAATTGTAAGTCAAAACCAACTGCACCTCCATATTCTATATTTCAAAACATGGCCTTTGTTCCAGTGACAGATGCTATCCAGTTTTGGATGTTATAGACAAGGAGGAAAGAAACGTAGGAGCATTTAGTCTGGATGGCTGAAGCCGAATGCTACTGACTTTGCAAAAAAGTGGGAAGCGTACAGTCGCCCTCAAACCTCAGGAAAACCCCAGGAAAGCCCAAGGAAGAGCCGCCACCGAAAAGGACCGCTGAGAAACTACAGCAGAACCTGAGATGGCTGCGTGGAGGAAGGGGCTGGCTGGAGATGCTCGCTGAAGCATATTGTGGCAGACCCCCCCCACCGTAGACCTAGACTTTCATCCCGTCCAGGGGACCCAGCAAAACTCTCCCCCCCAGCAACAGCCAGAGGTAATTCAACCCAGATGCCGACGTTGCTGTATTCCCAACCGTAAACCACGCCAGCTAGCAAAGGAAAAATGGTTTATTGTTGGCCACCGGGCCTCCGCCTGTCATTTAAACCCAGCTAGAGATGTTGAGGTGATAACCCTGGTGGAAACGCTGCAGCGGCTCACACCTGTAGCATAAACTGCTGATAAAACCGTACAAACACACCTCATCGGTGAGCAGGTCTTTGCAAGAAGAGGAAAAGCTCACGGAGAGGATTTGGAGGGCGGGAGGGAGGGGCAGAAGTCCTTCTGCCCCCCGCTTTCTCCCCCCTGCCCTCTCTGTTTTCATGACAATAAACCCGAGGGACTCACCCGCGGCAAGGCCCCATCTACTCCCTCCCTGCGCATCAGCTTTTTTCCTATCTTCATTTTACAGGGCATTCGTAGTCCTTTGGAAAAAGGGCTCAAAACGGGAGAACCGTCCAACCACAGAGCTTGCAAACCTTTAGTAAACCAAGAGCAATTTAGAGCTGAGGCCCCACCTCCCTTTGCTTTACACCAACGGGTCTTACCCGGGGGAAAAATGGACTAGAAAACTCCAGGCAAGAAGTGCCTCCTGACATCACAAAAACGCTCCAGCGACACTGTAATCTTCCGTTGCCAATCTACTTCATTTCACTGCCTCAAATTAATTAACTGGAATAAGCGTCTACAATGACCCCCTGCAGATAAGATTTCTGGAGGCTGGCAAAACAACCTGCTCGATATCCTGGAGCTGTCAGCGTTTCAACCTGTTCCTGATCTGCCTTGAACACGAGCTCCATCGCCCTGGCTTTCCCAAACGTGGGCGCGCCACCCCAACGGAGCTTAGAAGTTTATTTCTGTGCTAGGCAAAGATTTAGCGCCTGCCTTCTGCAGATTCACCTGCCGTTAAAAAGGCAAAAGGACATTTCCTCTCTTTTTTTCCCTGACTGGCTAGCAACCTTCGGTGGAGATAATCCATGTATTAAAACCCGGCCCAAGAAATCCGCTGCTTTTCACAGATGGGTTTACCCCCGTTCTGCATGCATGCATGGGGAGAAAATGCAACCAGGCCTTCCATCCTCCAGCTTGGAGATGGGCTCCTGGAGGCCAAGGCTGATCCCGGCCCCCCAAAGTTCCATGGGGAAGAAGAGAGCAGACGGAAGATGGATTGTTCCACGTTATCTCTTGACGTGGGTCCTCGCTAGAAAGCTGAATTGCGCGATACGGAAAAAGACAAACAGCAGAGGGAATGTGGGGAGGGGAAGGGGCAATAAAGCCCCAAACATCTTCACGCTTCCATAAGAGAAAAGCTTTCGGTCACATCCCACGAACCTATTTTGTTCTGGGCAACCACGCGACCTGTGAGCACTCCGATTTTGTTCAGTTTGATTTACTTTGCCTTTCCTCTCCTTGGCCTCTTGGAGTCTTGCGGGCATTTTCATGGACCCAGCAGAGGGTTGTCTAGATGTGCAAAGAATCTGCTCATAAGGTTTGAGCCGAGAGACGTTAACCGTAATCGGAGGGATGGATTGCACGTTTTATGGCACCCTAGAAGCAAAGTTTCTTTGGCAGCCTGCAGACCGATTCAGAACATAAAACAGGACGACCACCATAGAACACACCACAGTGAAGAGGAATCCCGGGGCGGAGGCCGGACCTCTCTGGGAAGGCAGGCGGGCCGAGAAGGACCTTCACGTAGGCACCAGGCGTACGACTGAAGGGGTCCCTCCAAGGAGAAGGCCTTCCTCCCTGGTGAGCCCCCCCCGCCTGGCCTCCCTGGGTGGCAGTGGTCCTCACTCCCCAAACAGATAATTGGGGAGGATTTGATCCTTTGGATAACCTGGTCCCAAATCCCTCAGGGGTTCGAAGGTGAAAAGCAGGCCTTCGAACAGATCCCCAAGAGGGCATAATCTCACCCCACCAGCCGCTCCATGGACCATTTAGCCATCTGACCTGGACAAGCCGAAGTTTCCACATCTTTCGCAATGCAGTGCAATGATGCAGTTGCAAACTTCCCAGTAGGGCGGTAGGTGGTGCCTCCCCCTGCCCACCCGTGCCCTGCACCCACGGCCTCTTGTGCCTTTCAGGACCAGGACGTGGCCAGCAGGATCTCCAAGTTCCTCGCCTGATCCCCCCTCTGCACCCCCAACCCAAGCCAGGGGCCACCAGTTAGTAAGACAGACCGACTCCCGCCAGCAGGATTCCCATCTCAGCCAGGCCCAGTCTCAGCCCCCAGCCTCCATCCAGCCCCCTCCCCTAATCACAACTGCCCCCCTTTAAGGCACAGCTGGAAGAGAAAGACGGTAATGAAATCCATCGAAGGAAGGGCTGGTTGTCCATCCCGTGACCACGGGCCAACGAAGCAGACCATCTGCAACTGGTGCGGGGTGGGCCGGGGTCCCGCAGCTCTCTGAGTCTTCAAGGGGAGGGTCAGATAGCCCAGCTGTTGAAATAAGCCCACGCCCAACACCACTACAGCTCTCAAAAGCCAGAACTGGGGCATGCTGCGAAGGCTGGGTGTGTGTGACAGGCCAAACTTGGCTAAAACGGGGTTGGATAGTTTGTGGCTGGCTACGCTGTGAGAATCCAACGGTTGGCTCAAGTTATCTTTTCCCAGCACTTGTGTGTACAGACACCTCCCCCCATATCTGCTATCTTTGGAAGCTGCGCAGAGCCATGATAATATCGGATCTGGCCTTCAGAGAAGATGCATTATTATGGATTTTAAACTGGCAAACCCAACGCCAGTTTTTTTCTCTTGCAGTCCAATAAACCTTGATCTGCAGAGCCCTCCAGAGCGCCATCCTGCCCAGAGGCTTCTGGCGCTTGGAGTGCCAGGAAAATCCGAAGGCCCACCTCAGGCACAAAGGCAGCCTGGCACGCTTCCTCTTCCTGTCACAGGGGCTCTGGCCAGCTGAGCCCAGGGCCTCTCCAGCGCTGCCAAGGCTGCCTCCGAAGGGCACCTCCGCTGTCCGGCCCAGAAGGTGCCCTGGGAGAAGGGCTTGATCAACCACCCCAGCACCGCCCCTTCCCCCAAGCTCTGGGCGCCAGGGCAGCAGACCAAGACGCCAGCTGGGGGCTGCCCTCCCCGGCCCGGGCAGTTACAAACCGAGCGCTGCTGCGTTTGCACAACTAAGCCTGGTCAGCCGGAAGCTTGGCCGGCAAACGAGCGGCGCTCTCGGGCTGGTCAGCGCTGGGTGCCAACCCAGCAAATGGGCCGACGCCGGGCCGGCTAACCGGTGGGGCGGGCGCAGCCGGCCGGGGCAGGCTCGAGGGGGCATCGCTTACCTTGATCTTGTGCAGCGACTTCTCTGCCTCCAGCATCTGAATCCAGACGGCGATCCCGGATCTCT